TAGAAAGCATATTGGGAGACACTGTTTAGATTGACTGATGACAACGACCAGCATTGCCTATTGGAACCGTTAACTTAACCCTTCAGGAGACAAGAGTGGTTTACAGAACTTTGATTTCTCTTTTTTAAGTGCCTGTTTTTTTTAAAGCATTGCCTATAGGGAGAATAATAACTCATTGGTGGTATGGTAAATCTGTTTTATAAGTTCCTTTTTTTTTTTGTTGAAATTTTTATAAAATAAAAAGCTTAATGGTGTGTGTGTTTAAAAGGTTTTGGTAATAAAAATGGCAGTGCGTTATATATGAGATATTAGGCATTAGATCACGTAAAGAACAGTTGTGTTTTGAGAGTTACTTATTTGCTATGAAGAAACAATGTGTTTCCTTGGTGTTTGTAGTTCAAACCTCTCCCTTCCCTTTGCTTTCCTTTGTACCAAAAGGAATCAGTCCTTATGGAGACAACATGGTGACAAAGTCTACCAAAATTCAAGGGCCCATTTCAGGTTCAAGCCTGTTGGTGTCCCTTAAAAAATAGAAAATTAACTAGCAAAAGAGAGAAACAACAAACCGAAGAGATGTTTTAATGAGTTATTCTGCCGTAGGTTTAGTTGTGACCATACTCTCATGGTACTTCGTCAGGGCATAAATGTTCTTTTTTGGTCTCATTCTAACTACTTTATATGATTACCCAGGATAAACTATGAATATGAATTGTAAAGTGTCCTTTATAAGTATCTGCTAGTTTCCTGCGATTATGTTCAACTTCATAGCTTATAAGGCATCTGAAGTTCAGTTTTGATATTTGGTTTTGTTTTGTTTCCTCAGGTTTTGTACTTGACCCTGAAAAGTGTAGCAGGCTAAGCTTGGGAGAGAAGAGAGAACTAGTTCATGAGATTGCCCAATGGTCAAAAGATGCCCCAGGAATCCTTAGTTCGTTTACCCGTAGGGAGCTTCTTGAAATTATCTGTGCCGAAATGGGTAAGGAGAGGAAGTACAGAGGATATACAAAACCCAAAATGATAGCACAGCTTTTAAAGGTAGTATCTGAGAAATCTAAGAGTAATACTAAAAGCTCTCCTGCATTTTCTCCGGCCAAAAATCAAACGGGAAAGAAAAGGAAAAGGGATGTAGAAGCTTCCTTTCAACCACTCACTGGCCCAGGTCATGTTTCTCCTGTGACTAGTCAAGAAGGACACCCTAAATTCCAAGTCTGTCAGAATGTAGCTTGCAGAGCTGCCTTAGGGTCAGAGGAGTCTTTTTGCAAGAGATGTTCTTGCTGTATCTGTCATCTTTTCGATGATAACAAGGACCCTAGTCTATGGTTGACCTGTGGCTCTGATACTGCTGATGAGAATGGTCCATGTGAAATTTCATGCCATCTGGAGTGTGCTTTAAAGCATGAAAAAGCTGGCATTATGAAGAATGGTTGTTGCCCAGAGTTGGATGGAAGCTTCTATTGCATTGCTTGTGGAAAGGTTAATGATTTAATGAGGTAACTAATATTTTATAAACACCTGTGAATATTTAAATCTCAATTACTTACTCTTCAACTGCATAGCCAATGTATGGTATGGTACTAGTTGTGTACAACCTGGTCAGTTCAGACCCAACCTAGAAAAAACCAATTGCCTATTCATGAATTATATAGACATCTGCAGGTGTTGCGTTTTTGTGTCTTTGCACGCATGCAAACACCCAAGTATGTGTACTGTGAAAGCTACATATTTTGCTTCTATGATTATAAGTAGCAGTTATTGCACAGTAGCAAAGTCTCTAGAACTTACTAAGACATCTCTTAAGCATACTATCTACTTACATACACGTGCACTGACGCTAGATAAACAAACCAGGATTACTAGGTGTCAAGCTCGACCATATAAACATGTATGAAGATGTCTAAAATGCATACCCATCAGAGCATCTGATTAGTGAATCTCCCTTTCAAAGAAGTTTAGATCTTACTAGCCATCAAAACATGTATGAAGATGTCTAAACTGCATACCCATCATAGCGTCTGAGAGTGAATCTCCCTTAAGGTTGTGTTTCTTTTGCAGAAATTCAAGGAAAAGAAAGTAAACTGGGGAAAATTATATTTCTGGCGTGTGTGACCTTAATTTAATATAGGAAATGGCACCACAAATGTTAACTTGAAAAATATTTTCTAAGATGTTAGGTTATGATAATGTTTAGAAAACAGCGTTTTTATTAAGTCACCTATATATGTTTTGATTGGTAATATTTCTTTCTTTTTACAAACTCTTCCAAGAAAATTTGTATCAATCCCCAAAAACTGAAAACTAAAAGAATTAGAACATTTTACTAAGAATGCATTCCTAGGAAAAATTTATGTCCTGGAAATATTTTCTATTGATACTAATGTGGCCTTTGATTGGTTGAGAATCAACTATCAGAATGAATGATGTACAACCAGTTGCAATCTCAAACTGACTAACCGACCTTGAGTTGCTGTTAGCACCAAATAATAATGTTGGCTAATTGGATGATTGATTTTGTGCAGAACCTGGAGAAAACAATTAATGATTGCAAAGGAGGCTAGAAGAGTGGATGTACTTTGTCTACGAATTTCTCTATCTTACAAAATTCTTTCAGGAACGGAGAAATACCAAAAACTACAGAACACTTTAGAAACTGCTATTAAAAAGCTGAAGAATGAAGTAGGCCCACTGGAACAGGTCTGCGCAAAGATGGCTCGTGGAATTGTTAACAGACTCTCTTGTGGTGCTGATGTTCAGAAGTTGTGCAATTCTGCAGTGGAATATTTTGATTCAATGTTTTCTGATCCTTGCCCTGTCCATGTGGAAAAGGAAGAGCGAGCAAGTAAGTTGTTTTTTCTTGTTTTCAATGATTTGAAATCCCCATTCGCATATGAAGCATCTAGATGGAACACAGCACTAGACATTTCATTTTATATGGGTTACGTGTGAGTCTCTGACTACAGTAGGAAATGCAAACTGGTGGCTGGTATCATCACCCTAGTTAGTTAGTTGGTTAATTGGAAGGAGAATAAATAAAGTCCTGTTTGGTGATGTCAAACAAACTGAATTTTTTTTCTTCATATATATTATTTGGTCACTGATGTTGCTTAATAATTCTGTTGTATCAGCTTGCCACATCCAGTTTGAAGACTCAACCCCTACTTCTGTTGTCATCGTGCTAGAATATGAGAATCATCTTTTTAACAACTTCTTGGGTTGCAGGCTGTGGCATCGTAAGTCTGATGTGAAGGATTATCCAGACCAACCCTCTTTCATTGTTTTAAGGCCAGAGAGGAAATTTACTCTCACCAATCTCCATCCCTCAGCTGAATATTTCTGCAAGGTTTCTTTGTTTAGCAACGCAGGAGTATTGGGTGTTTGGGAAGCTAAATGGGTCACACCTGCATTGTATGATAGCTCTGTTATGTTAGAGAATCAGAGAAGGGAAGATAATATAGCAGTTGTTCAAAACCATTCCCAAGAAGAATCAACCAATTCTAGTGACATCAAATTAGCTTCTGGAGACCATACTGCGAAGCTTCAATCGTCGAATGGCATCAACAAGAACCAGAGCAAAAGGCTCTACTCACTGCCTTCTCTAACAGAAACTGCTTCTTTGATCAAAGCAGTTTCTCCATTGACACCTTGTAAATCCAACGGAATGCGTAAAGTACCAGGTTTCAGGTGTACAAAGCGAGCAGAGGAAAGTGATTACGACTACTCTGTGAGAGCAATCAAATGGCTAGAGCATGGGGGCAACATAGATGAAGATTTTAGAGTAAAATTTCTTACTTGGTTCAGTCTGAAAGCTAATATGCAAGAACGAAGAGTGGTCAGAGTATTTGTGGACACGTTCACTGATGATCCATCAAGCTTGGCTGGGCAGCTCATCCATAGCTTTGGGGATAAGATTTGCTGTCAGCAAAAGAATGACCAATTTTTCAGCATTGGTCTTACACAAGGTTGTGCCATCAAATTTTGAAGGGACTCGTTTTTATGTGAAAATTTTTAGTAGATAGGACATGGTTTAGAAAGGTAGGTCTTTTTTTTTCCTGGTTGAAACAAATGTAGGTTTTGTTAGGGAGACAGGGAAACAGTCATCTTCTTGATCAAAGAAAAGGGTTAAGCTCTTTGATTTTAATTTCTCGTTTAGTAAAGTTAGGATTAGAGATTAAATTGCATATGATCATCCAAATTTTCTTTCTTTTTTTTTTCTTCTAAATTGAAAGGTAAAAATGATATGGTGGTTTTATGTTTACCTTTCTTCATCAGAGGTTTGATAAGGGGTGCTGTTATTAACACTACAAAAGATAAATAATCATGCAATCCTCTTGGTTCACACTCATTTATTGAAATGGTGAAATGGTATGAAAGGAGTGTAAGATGACTTTTGTAGAGTGATTAAGGGTTCCCCTTATAATGACCACAATTACAATTATCCGCACAAAACAGCCAAGAGTTTTTAATTTCAAACCATGCAAGCATATTACTAACAATAATATTAGACTCGCCAAATTATTCTTCAACTTCACTCACCAAATGATTGTGTTTGTGAGTCCATATTTGATTAAATGTAGATTGAGACATCATTCGGTGAACAAAATATGATGAATAAATTTGACTTGTAGCAGAGCTCAATTGCTATAATCCTAGAGGAACATTGATTTTATGAAAAATTGTATATTTTCCTTGAAAAGCAATACAAAAAGGATGAATTGCATAATCTATGCAGTTAAAACTTGCAGATTTCACTAGGTTCACAAAAAGAAACATGAAGCACACATCTTCGCAGTTCTCGGACTGCAAGCTGCAAAAGACAGACTTCTTAGTGCTAAAAATCAGTTTCAAAATCAACTTTTGGGGACAGTAAGTTGCAGAAGGGCGATTAGGTTTTTCCAATATCATTCTTGAAAGGAATGGCATTGTTCGCACGCAAAATTGTAGCACAAGGAGATCTTTCTCCGGTGAACATGAACAAAGAAAACTGAGAAAATAATTCAACTGCAAATGGAACTTCTCTAATTGCATCCTTAACTTGAAAAACACTGATACCATGATTCCGTCTTAAACAAATTCCAGAAACCAGCAGCCAGTTGACATCTCTCTTTTTGTTTTTGAAAATTACTGCATGCCAACACATCAAACTCTCAGTGCTTTTAGAAATCCATCGATCCAGTTGGTGCCTACTTAGCACCACTATGGTTTTCCATCTTTCTCTAAAGGGCATTAGTATTTTGAACTTCTTCCAGGAAATCAGGAGCAATTGTTGCTTGGTGCACCATTGATGGCTTCATTGAATGAAGCGACCAAGTGCTCTGTCAAGCTTGGCTGTAGAGTGCAGTTGTTTGAACATTCTGTACCACTTGCTTCTATGTTCTGGTTTGCATTTTTTTGACCGGTACATTAATATAGTGAGAGGCTCTTCCTGGAACCCAGAAGCAATGGTTATGTAGCTGGTGTGTCCTTGACAGCATCATTGAATGAGGCGGCCAAGTACTCTGCCAAGCTTGGCTGTGAAGTGGACTTGTTTGAGCCTTCTGAAATGCTAGCATCTTTTGTGCTACTAGATTTTTCAATTGGGGGTTTTGAAGAGCCAGGGCTGTAGAAACGTTTCATGGGAGTATCTACCCCTTTCCAGATAACAGGTTTCAAAAACTTCCATGGGTCTTCAACCATGGATACATTGTAAAACCGCTCTGGCCCCAATTGTTTTTCCATTGCAGAAGGACCATGAGAGCCCAGCCCTCTTCCACCTCTCCGTCCCAATCCAGGACTCGTGCTCCAGTGCCCTCCACCTCTTCCTGAACTTGAACCAGGACTAGTATTGCCTCCATGTACTGAATGAGGGCTTGGACTATTGCTACGCCAGTGCCCCTTGCCTTGCCCACTATTGGAACCAGGGCTTCCTAGTGGTCTATATCCCGGGCTTGCAGGTGGTCTAAATCCAGGGCTTCCTGGTGGTCCAAATCCAGAGCTTCCTTGTGGTCCAAATCCAGGGCTTCCTAGTGGTCTATATCCTGGGTTTGCGGGTGGTCTAAATCCAGGGCTTCCTGGTGGTCTAAACCCAGGGCTAGGAAACCTGCATTCTCTTGAAGGATCAGATGGAAAACTATAATTGGCAGCACCTTCAGCTCCATTCCAGACTTCAGGTGGATTTCCATGATGCGTAGGGAATGGTCTCGCTATTCCTATGGGGTTTCTTTGAGGACCAAAGTTTTGACAGAAACCTTGTTGTACTTGATACATTCTCTGATCTGGTGAATAATTGCTCTGAAACTGATGGGATGGAGGAGCAGTCATTTCAGGGTTCCTTGGTCCTCCTAAATTAAATTAAGAAAACCAAAATCAAGAGGAAAGAAAAAGACAAAAACTAAAAGGCAGATAACTAAGATGAACTTCAAGTGTTCAATATTTTGGTTGGACGAAAGCAATCCGAGCATGCATCAAATATTTCAAGACTACACTTCTATTTTGGATATGTATATGACACTTGCAGTGAAATGAAATTAAAACAAAAATGGCCAAATCTTTTCCAGCACACACCAACGAAGAAAATAATTGGATAATGACACAAGGAACCATAACGTTACCCATAGTTTCCAAGTTCATACCATAAGCTGGCAAAAGTTATTGAAGAAGAAAATTTGGGGCTTAGAAACAATTTCATTTTCACTTTTTAAACCAATATCTTATTCACTAAATCAATAATAGAAGGAGTTTTCCATACACCACCACATGATTAGAGTTTATGAATTTTGAAAATAAAATCAAATGGGCCAACCATGCATGATTATAGGAAATCCAGCTCAAAGAAAAACATTTTGATGAAATTACACACTACCTGAAAGAGGCGACGAAAACCTTGCCATAGGAGAACCACCCGTATTTGAACGTCCGAAATTACTTGGCGCAATCTGGTTGCCAACTTTAACCCTTTTAGTGTCGGAAGAGAAGGCTGCCATAGGGTCTGTGTAAAAGTCAAACCTAGAAGGAGCACAAGGTTCCTCGTGCACTGGTATAGCTGCACTATCTTCAGCCAACGGATTGGAAAGGTAACCAGGGACAGCTGAAGTTGTAACACTATGAGAAGCTTCGGCTTCTTCAGCTTCTGTGCGCATTGCTCTTAGTCGTTCCTTTCTTTTCTCAGATTCGTCCATTTAACCTGAACATAACCCATTTGATTAAGTTAATATTCATCAATCTAGACACTTTTTTTCTTGTCAAAATAACATCAATTGGCAAAAGACTTGTCAACCTCAAACTACTTAAGAAAATCCCTAAATTCTCATGAGATAACAAGTACAAAAAAACCAGTTTTTTTAAAGGCATGCCTTCGCGCGCGTCGGAGCGAGGCGGCAGGAAATCGCCAGAGGCAGTCGGCTGTTTCACGAGTTGCACGTTTAGCGCGGGGAAGGCGTAAGGAGGTTGTTGCAAGGCGTGGCCAGTCGGAGCGAGGCGTGCCAGATCTGGACACTACTGAACCTGAAGAAATTTTGCGAGTACGCAAATTGGCTGCGACTCTGCGAGGAAGACGACTCGCATGTTTTCTCTTTAGGTTTATTGTAATGAAACGACGTCGTTTCGATTGCAGGGTTTTAAAAAAATTCTAAATGAAACGACGTCGTTTCATTTGGAGTGTTTTTTTTTTCCACACCTTTATTATAATAAACTTAAGGCAAGAAGGATTAATATCTTTATTGCCTTTTCTAAATCCAGCCGGCTGTAGCTTTATTCTACTTATCTTTTTTTTTTTATAAATTAATATATGAACACATGGACTTATCTAAATATATAAAGCAAATGGCAGAGAATGGTGAAACATTCAAAATACCAGAAAATGCCCTTGGTTAATTCAAACATTAAGAATTGAAATTATTAATTAAAAGAGGATAATATGGTAAATTCACATTTTTATATTAAAAAAATTAAAATTAAAAACGAAATAACTACCCATGTTATCTTTTCTTAATACTAAAAATAATAATGATAATAATAATAATAATAATAAACCAATTGGTACATGCGTGAACATGTGCCAAGGAGCTAGTATATATATATTGTATAGTACAAACCTAATTTCTACCCTTACCAGATAATATCCATCAATTTCAAAAATTCTCTTCATCTTTCGACCCATTTTATTTTTCTCTCTAATTCTTCGCAACTGTAATTTGAGGTTCCGTAAAAAAAAATTTCAATGTTTTTTTTTTCAATATATTAGTTATCTTATTCGTTTATGTGATATAGTAGAAATTTGACGTACATGCATCATATTTGCATCTTAGAAATATTAATAGTGTTGTTTTATAGCTATGAATCGAAAAGATCCTGCGTTGAAGTATGCAAAAGAAATAGAGGGGAAAAAAAAAATACTTGAGATGCACATTTTGTGATCAAAGATGTAGTGGAGAAATTTCTAGACTTAAGCATCATTTGGGTCAAACTCATCATGGTATGCAACCATGTAAGAAAGTTCCTGAGCATGTGAAAAAAAAGTGTGCCGCAACTTTGAAAAATTTTCATCTTGAAAAAAGAAAGAAAAATGAAATGCTTAGAGAGATTGGGGATGGTCCACGAGGAGGGGCTCAGAGTATGGAAACTTCATTGGATAAAGAATATGGAATTCCCGGTACTAGAAATGTTGCAATTGATGAGGCTCTTAGAGCACAACCTAAATCAAAAGGACCAATGGATAGATTTGTCACTTTAGAAGCTCGGTAAAGTATATTAAATTTAGCATAGAAACAAGAAGAAAGAAAGGAAGTTTGTCGAAAGATTGGTCATTTTTTCTTCTCTAGAGCACTCCCATTTAATATTGTAAATGATCCATTTTGGCTACCTATGGTGGAAGGGATTGCCGCATATGGTGCATGATTTAAGCCTCCATCAATGCATGAGTTGATGACTTGAATCCTTAAGGAAGAAGTTGGATGCATCACATAGGGAAATATTGTTAGACAGCGACACTGAAGCTAGACTCGCTTACATGAAAACGAAAGCGTAAGTGGATCTTTATTTTTTTTTGTAAGTTCAGTGTAGATGAGAAGAATAGGCTTTCTAACTTGTTTTGGAGAGACTCTACTTTACTTTTGGATTATGTTGCCTCCGGAGACGTCCTCATATTCGACATCACATACAAAACCAATATGTTTGACAAGCCTCTAGTGTTATTTGTTGGTTCAAGCAACCACCAGGAGAGTGTTGGTTGTGGCATATTGCTTGATGAGACCTTTGGAACATAAAAGTAGTTATTTGAGACATTCATATCCTCCATGAAAGGCAAGAAGTCTACATCAATACTGACAGATGGCAATGAGGCGATAAGCATAAAACAATTGAGTACGTGTTTCCCATGGGCAATCATAAGTTGTGCTCATGGCACGTGGCAAGGAATGCACATAATAACTTAAAGGATAAAGAATTGGTACGATCATTTCAAGTATATCTTTAGGGACTAATTACAGCCAATGAGTTTTAAAAGAAATGTGAGTTTTTGAAAGACAGAGTTATTACACATAAACAAAAGGATGGCTGCAAATGATGTATGCAAAACGAGATGCGTGGGCGAAATCACGCCTTAGACCCAAGTTTTTCGGTGGTATGTGTACTACTCAATGCGTGGAGTGTATAAACAAGTTTGTGAAAGATTACTTGAGGAAATGCGTTAAGTTGTTTGAATGCATACCACCAAAAACAGTCGAAGAAAGTGCTTACAACAACACCTAAAAGTCTTGAGCAACATGCTTCCCAAATTTACATAAATAGGTGCTTTTTATTGGTATGTAACGAGATCAATGTTTTGTCAGCACTCATTCATGAAAAAATAATCTAAAATTTCGGAGGATGGTTGTATATTTTAGTTAAATACGGTGAATCGCAAAATAATTGGAGTTGTGTGTACCTTGGCGGGAAAGATGATCGAATAGAGTGCAACTGTTAGAAATATGGAAGCGAAGGCATCCCATGTTGCCATTTGTTTTATGTGATGAAGTGGGAGCATGTTATGGAAATTCCCTCGTCACTCATAATGAAGTGATGGACAAAAACTGCGCGAATGGACATTGAATATGCATTTATGTCAAAAAGTGAAAGCATGAAGGTTGTACAAACCGCGAGATATGAAAGTTTAAGTTGTATATTGCCAACAAAGTATGTTTGTATACATCAAAGAGCACATATAGGTGTAGTATTAATAAATTAATGTTCAAAAGGCTTACGTCTCACTGCTTCAAAGCTTACGCCTCGCATCACGCCACTAAAACGCCTCGCATCAATACCTCACCTTTCAAAGCATTGCAAAAAACATCAACTTTAGAGTAATATTTAAAAAGAATTTAACAATTTGCATAAAATTGAGAACCCCAAAACTTTCATCATTAGAATTGTAGATGTCCCAATTGCTATTCTTCAAAATTTGCAACTTAATTCACTCACTCTATTAGCTTTCTACACCTAATTCAAGTAATCAATAAAGCCCAACTCTTTGGTTTGTGATGGAAATCGTCACAAGATTGCACAAAGTAGAAGTTAGGCATTGTGAATCAAAATAGTAAAATTAATTGTAGAAGCAAGAAATATTTGTAAATGAAAAAACTTTTTCATTACAATAATGAAGTATGAATTGGGTTTGGAATAGGGGAGCCAACAGTTCATGAAAATTAGATAATAAAAATAATTATTTTGGAAATAAAATCAGGAAGATACATATATAGTGAAATTTATTGAGTCCCAAATTTAAACCCTAACAGAGAGAAAGAGAAGAAGGAGAGAGAGTACCTGAGGTTGTCTGTGTCGTCTTGTAAACGGACTACTTGAATTTGTCTAAGGGAGAGAGAGGGAGAGACGATGTTATATTTTTTGAAGAGCTTTTTCTTTTCTTTTCAAAACCAGCAAGAGCAACCCATGATGGGTTAACCTAAAACGGACTGAGACTTTTTCTTTTTGTCAAGAAAAAAGAAAAGATATATTGGGCGGGGAGAAAGTTTGGACCAAAATATTTACCCCGTGGTTGTGATGTAGTGTAGTGATACTATTTTTTCTTGACCAAATTTTCCTTTAATTTTAGGATTTTTTTATGACAATGTTTTAATGAGGCCACACTTATTGCATCAGGTAGGTTTGTTTCAGTTTTAAGTCCCTCATGATTTGGTACAGGTAGCCATCTCCTTCAGAAGATGATGCTTTTTAGCTGTCATTTTCTTAGGATCGGTGTGCTTGTGACCTGCCTTTCATCTTGATTTTGTGGTGTATTTACTAATTAGGAATTGAATTTCCACATATGTAGGATTTTTGCCTTTACTTCACATTAAGGAATTGAAAATTAAGTGGGGCCCACACAAAATTAGGAATTGAATTCCTGATTTTGGAGGAATTCAATTCTTGGGTGAGATGTGGTATTCTAATTCATGGAGAATTAACCCATTAGGAATTCATTTTTTTACCCATTATATATCCTCACACAATTTTCAAAATTCCAAATATGTCATCTACTTTAACTCAACAACGATGACATTTTAGTAATTAATACCACTCCTACCCCAATTCCATATGATTTAGCAAACAACTTAAATAGGAATCCATAATCTAATTATCCTCAATCCAACTCTTCCTCAATTCAATTCCTTATAATTCAATTACGAATTAGTAAACATGCCATTGGCGTTGAGAATAGTTCACTTTGAGAATAGTTCATAATCTTGTATTGCTTATCTAGAATGAAAATTCTACTTCAACAAACAAAAATAAAAAATTAACAAAGAACATTTTGTTTTTGGTAATAAATAGGAGACTTGACAAAATCATACATGATATGATAATATGACGTAAATATGCACGAAAAATACAATAATTGGGTTGCACCTTAGCAAGCCGTGTTGATAACAAGTGGACTCATAGTGACCCCTTAAAAATAGATTGTGTTTGTGCTAATTTGTGAAACTTGTTATCGACCCGCTAAAATGTAAAGTTATTTTAATTTGTTTATTTCTTAGACCATTGATCATTAATTTTGATGTGATAGACCATTGATTATGTAATTATAATATTTTAATGTTTCTTATATAAAATTGTAAGAGTAAATGTTTCATGCACGTGGATAAAAATCGAGTTTGGTGGAAAGATTTGCCCTCGATACTCACGAGAAATGAAGATTCACACTTAATCAAGCTTTTTTTTTTTGGTTGGAAAAACAAATTATTATAAAAGCCACCCGTAGGCAGAAGCAAACAAAGTACAAAAGAACAGAATATAAAGGATAACCACAGGGGAGCAGAGTGCAACCCAGGGTGAAGAGGCAATCAAAAGAAAAACTCATTCTGAAACTGTCTAACAAAGACTACAACTTAAGGAAAAGAAAAAAAAAAAATTAATATGTAAATCCAGATGTCAATCCACAGGTAATCCATCATTAGCTAGAACCAACACTAAAGAGGGATGAGGATGTAAAGCCTAGGATATATTTCACACACTCATGTTTGACAATGATGCAGCAAT